TATATGACGAGGTCACACTGCTGGTACCTTTTATTCTTGTCAGTCACTCTAATTTTCAACTGTCGCGATTGCATTTGTTGACTATCCAACGTAATACTCGTTCTCACTGACCAATCCCTCCACATTCAGCCAAAAGGCCTTGTTAACAACAGAACTTTCATAACTATCCACGTCTAGATTATAAATGCTAGCAATGCTAGGGAAACTCTTCACGACCGCCTTCGAGTAGTAAAGGGTTTAATCCTGCAACCTCAAACTCATGAGTAAGGTAAGGTTACGCGCACCAGTAAAGCTGGCTCGGTGTTAAGGGTAATTTTGTCATCGGGGGTCGATACAACTGTAACATTCTAAGTCTACGTACTGCTGACCTCCACGGTTTTTTGGACTGATGCCAGATCTACTCGCTCAACGAGACATATACTGACCTAATTTTTAAGTGACGAGACGCCGCTTCGTATTCAATAGACAGCGTCGCGTATAACGTAGCAAACTTGCCCTTTTGAAAGTGGACTTTTGACTTTGGTGGGGCCAAAGTTAAAGTGTTTTATAATTGTGAATCATTCTTTGGCTCACCTGTGACCGAAAGTAGCTGAAAATGTTTAACGGCCGTCTGTTTTTCGATTAGCATTGCCTGAGTGGACTGTCTGTTAGGCCTTGTCTGCTCTGCGTGTCTTGGCCAACGTTTAGTATCGTCTTGTAACTTATACACCTACGGTTGGTTACCGAATGAAAGTATGATTCTGTGGTGTTGGCACGGTGCGAACAAAAGATGTGAATGTTAAGTATGTGTTTCCACTGCCTCAGTTGGATATTTCTTTTTTCCCATTTTTAGATATAGAAAGAAATTGTCATTTAACTGGGCCTTGTCATTCTTGCCCTTCTTACTTCAGTCGATTCCACATTGTAGCGTTCTCATAAGAAAGTCATCCCGCAGTTGATTGACTATTTTATCATCCATAATAGCTCGCTTAACAAATGACCGCATTAATAATAGCGACGTGCATCGAAAAGAACCGCAGGTTAGCGAAGGACTAAAGGTCTGCTAGGTCAAGGCTATCGACAAGTTGCTGCATAATTTTTCTCACCTGGCATGCAATTGTTTTCTAGCCATGCAGTGAATTTTGTACCTCATTAATCGGCTTTTTATTCGGTGTTGTCGCACTTGTGCTAGGCACTACTACAAGTTTGCTTGATTTATCTGGCACGGAAAGCCCGATCCACGCCGCTCGGAGACCAAATGCCAGACGTCAAAGACTCACCAGCCCTTCCCCCGCGTTATGAAGCGTTGGTGCGAGACTTGCAAGTCTGATTGTGGATGCTGTCCTCTCCAGGCACCTGGTTGTGCAGCACCTGCAGTGCATTGCCGATTTCTTCTTGAGAATAGGGGAGGGGGGAGGATCAAACGACACTTTATGGGTGAGGGAAGGGTAAAAGTTTGGCTCAGAGGAAGGAGGGGTAATAGAGCGGCGATGGGTTTGTGGTGGAAATTGAGATCCTTGGAGTGCTTACGTCAGTATTCGTCGGCCTTAACTCATTTTTCAGTAATAAGGTCACCACTCTGATTGATAATACAGACACTCAGTGTGGGTGGCCTGCCGTTAGGTAGTTTTTTGAACGTCACAGACGTTTGAGGTTTACTCTATGGAGGTGAATAGGACAATCTTTTGCTATGAGACGGGGTCGCACTGCTGGCTTCTTTAATTTTTTTGTCAGCAATTTGAATTCCCAACTGTCGCTGCATGATAACAGAGTCACTCAATGTGGCTGGCCTGCCGTTAACTCGGCGAATAATTTAGTAATTTCTGAACGTCACCGGCGTTTGAGGTTTGCTCCGTAGAGGTTGCCACTTCAACCGAATAGTTTTTTTTCGGTCATCTCTAGTTGACTTGGCCGTCATTTTCCGGGCTCCTGAGAAATAATAGTCCTTATGGAACCTGCATAAAGTCGTTTGTGCCAACAACTTGAAATAGTTCATTTAATGCGGCACTTGTAAAAAAAAGCGGCGAAATTTCTCATCTGTCTCTCGCGGACTGAAGACGTGAATGCAATTTCGGCCCCTTGATTAGTCTCTTTTCTCAATCCTGCTGCCATCCACGAAGACGTTATCAGACTCGGTTCTTACTCAAACAAACTCCCTCCTGTCCCCTACCTACTTTTTTTTGTGGACCTTGATCTATTTATTACCCTTCAAGGCAACGCTCTATCTAGCTGTTGGAGGAGAA